AACTTGCTCAATTCTCTTTTTGCTTTGGGATTGAAATTCAAGTCTATTGATTAAAACTTAATCATATACCAACAATAACAAACGCACAAGAATAATCGAATACTTAAAAATAATAAACTTCAATTGTACTCTTTAGCAACGATACCAAAATTTGATGGCGTGTTATACTCGCTAACAAAGTAGTAATTTATATTTTTCTTATAGAGCTTTCAATCATAGTTATATAATCGGGACAAGTAAGGGTCAAACCCATAAGGAAATAAAATCAATGGATCGTTTTGGTTGCTTGAGTATTCTTGTAGTATAAAAAGGGGATTTGTGATTTGGAATGCTTGAAAATAATAGAAAGGAATAAAGAATAACAATATTAAGAAAACTTTGGTTAAACTTCGGTATCTACTTTTAGTTTGGTTACTAATCGTCAAATAAATAATTAACTTATCCTAAATATAAATATCCATCGTAAGACAATAACATATATATTGATCTCAATCTTTCCTTACTTAGTCGTTAACCAAATATATGATACCTAATTAATTTCTTAGCTATTAAAAAAGCTACTAAGTGCTAAATATATTTAATTGAATAATAATATTGATAGAAAAAGATAATTGTAGCTAAGCCACCTTTCTAAGTGCTAGAAAAGATGTAACTTAGTTTTATGTTTTTCAAGGAATTAAACGAAAATATGAAAAATAATCATCAATCCTTAATTACTACCTTAGGCAAGTTTAGACAAATAATTACACTAACTAGAATACTTAACTAGCAATAAGTTAATATGACTAAACAAATAATGTGCAATCTAAGCGATTTACTCATATAATTATAAACCAATCATATAGAAAAACATAAAATACCCAAATAAGATAAGTTTAGAAATAAAACTATATTCTCACAGACAATTAACTAAAAACTTCAACTTGATTCAACTAAAAATAGAATGTAGTTGCTTATAATGAATTATAAAGAAGTTTCTATAAACAATGGTCGCTAACGAGTTCGGAGAAAGAGCCCTAAATAATACCATAGCTTTGTTAATTATATCTAAAACTAGGATTACATTACGTGTGTGTCAACCCCGGATGGTCACATAGCTTAATACATAAAGTTACATGATTTGTTGCTTGATATTACACGATTTGAAGCCTAAGAAAATAAGTATTACATAGTTTGCTAACTAGTGCGGATGACTATGTACAGCTTTTTTCATTCCATGTTACCAAGTTCCTAGATGTTTTCTTTAAATTGTGTTAAATCTCTTATGCTCGTATAAACTTACTTTGCATTGAAGACACGAGCGTGTGGCTTTGCATTATAAATTATATGCAATACCTTCGCTCGTGTGGGCTTTTTCTTTCCTTCATTATGCTAAGTTGGGACACCCGGATAATTGTGTGGTATTTCTTGCTGCGGTCGTGTGGAATGCTTCGCTCGTTTGGCTTGTGTTTGCTTGAGAATCCACATGGTTTCTTCCTTTAAGTCATACGATTAGAAGCTATTTTCTTTGTTATTTTACATGACCATGTGACTCTTTTAAGCCTTTTTGAAGTTTTTTCTATTCCTTGCTTGGGTTTTGGATTTCATTGCTTTGATTCGTTATTTTTCCTACAAAACCTAAAATTGTTATCTTATTCTTAAACAACATAATATAATACAATATACACTGAAAATTTTCATGTAATAGAGCATAAAAATCATGCTAATGATGCACTCATCATAGAGTATCAAGATCAACCCAAGGAAGGTCATGGTCGAGTAGAGACATTGAAGCCACATATGGTTTTAACAACACTTTGGGTTTAAACACTAATTTTAAAAGGTGTTTCAAATGCCATGTCCTTGAACACATTACTTTCAACTCGTCCAAACCGAAGAGTCATGAGCATGGTGAAGAATAATGAGGAAGAAAGACTTTTACTTGATTTGGTTGGAGAAGGAATTTATGCGGATGATGGTGAATCATTAGTGATTCGTAGAGTTCTTAATATTGAAAAGGTAAATGAAGAGGAATCACTTAGACACAACATATTTCAAACATGATGCATCTCTTAGAAAGGTGTGTAACTTGTTTATTGATGAAAGAGTTATGAACATTGTATCTTTGATGATGGTAGAGAAACTCAACTTGATCGAGTTATCACTCTTACTAATCAAACTCGGACACAAAGTGCACTATAGTATGTCATGGATCCATTAATCCTACCATTAGTTGCTCTTAAAGCTACCATGATTTCAAGATATGAGTTTGAGCCTCCCTAATTGAAGGTCTTTCTCCTAGAAATTTTAATATGATTGCATTATAAAATTATGAGGCGATTGCTTCTAATTCTATTAGGGAAAAAAGGCATGCTAGTTCATCAATAATCATGGTGGCTTGTTGAGAAGTGAGAGGTATGTCCCGTATAAGGAGAAAGGTTACAACAACCATTGATATAGTAATGGTGAAGGACAAGGGTTGCAACTTTAAGGTGGTTGCATAATTCACTACTATGATAAAAGGTGTTATCAAAGGACAAACTCTAATTTCTTCGATGAAGATGTAGATGGTATATTCCTATTCTTTCCCATCTTTTTTTTTAACTAGTCAATCTACCATCATAGTACCTAGGCAATCCAAAGATGGATTATTTGGTATTAGGTTGCATTCACCTTGGGGATAGCATCACTATAGTAGAATTCTCTAACACCCTTACATCATTAGCCATCGTGGAGGGGTTGGGAAGGGAGGAAAAACCAAATCATAATTCGAGTTTTCCCTAATGCGAGTAGTGGTATGGCCATTTAAAAACCTAGGGACCCTAGCTTAAAGAAGACATGTTTAGATAGATTTTTGTTTTTTTACCAATAAAAGTAAATTATAAAATAATTATTTTACATGATTTTATATAGCTATTACAATCTCAAAGAAAAGAAACCAAGTAAATTAAATGAAATTGATGATAGTAGAAAAGAAAAATATAGGATATTTTGAAGGTTTCATTATATATATATATAGGTGAGAAGAAAAAAAAAGGGTGCAAAAATGGATTAAAACGGCACCAAAGATAGATTAGAATTTCAAGATTAAAAAATAGATACATTGAAATTTATTGGACAAAGTGTTAGATGAGTATCACATAAGGGAAGTAGGAAATCTCTTAATTGAAATTATTATCCTTAAAATAATTTAATGTGTTTTGAGATGGGTCAAGAAAAAAGAAAATAAAAGAAAGGAACAGAAAACCATGAAATGGTGAAAACCCTTTAACCAATGGTAAAGAGTCCAATAGGCAAAAGAGTTTTTAGAAAGCGAGGTTACGAGTTTAGCCAACTCAACAAAATTATTAGTTAAAATAGGATTTATAAGCCTAGCTTGTAGGCAACTAAAACTAAAAGGGATGAGAAGTTTTACACAATATGAAAGATGAAACTTAAACAAGCTAGATCTCATATATATATATATATATATATATTAATCTAATGTTGGACATAAACAATATTGACTAACTAAAGTTAAGGTTGGCTTGTGTGAAATGAGCTTTAGTTGTTTAAATAAGTGATTTCAAGTTCGAGTATTTATGCATATAAAAAACTTCTTGGGTAGTTGTGCCTATTTTGTGCATCTAATATAACATCGAGGGATTAGTCTAAATATTTGGATTTGAAATACCTTAGGAATTAAAAAAAAAGTTAATTCTCATTAATACTTGTTTAAAAGTTTTTCTTGTATTTTGAGATGACATTGTTTATTTTTAAACGTCCCATTTTCTTATCAAACACAATTGTAATTACTACCAAATAGTGTGATCGGACAAATAAATTTTAAACTTTAGAAAAATTCCTTCACTTGAAATTCATAGGGCATAAAACAAACCGTACTAGGTACTAGTCTATTATTATTTTTATTATTATTTTTATAAGAATGACCATAGTAGTTTCTATCATATATTAGAGATAAAACTGATTTGGACAGGAACAATAAAATTTAATTCATGTCAACAAGTACAATTTTAGGATTAGAACTCCGTGTATTGATAAAAAATTCACTTAAGAAAAATTCCTACCAAATAATGTGATCGGGCAAATGAAGTTTAAACTTTAGGAAAATTCCTTCACTTGAAATTTATGGGGCATAAAACAAATTGTACTAGGTACTAGTCTATTATTTATTATTATTTTAGTAAAAATAGCCGTAGTAGTTGGTTTTTTTTTTTTTAATTAGGTATTTCTATCATATATAAAGATAAAAATATTTTGGATAGGAACAATAAAATTTAACTTTTCTTAATAAGTATAATTTCAAGATTAGACTCTGTATATGGACAAAAAAATCACTTAAAAACTAACTTGTTTATTATTAAATCAATAACTTGTTACTATAGTTAGTTTTTTTAGACATTATAAAAATATATTCCTAAATTCACAAATTCATCAATGTAATTATTATTCTATTACCTTTTTTTTAAATTACTAATAAAATTTTTTATTAATATTTTTTATATAATAGTTATTAGTAATTAATGAATGATGTATTAATAATTATTTAAAAAAATAGTGAGAACAATAATTTTATTGATGAATTTAGAATTTTTCATTATAAAAACATAACCCTTTTTGTTTTCCTCTCTCTTGGAGAGAGAGAAGTCTTATCAGATGTCCTTTGAACGAGACAAGAAGCCGCCCCCGTCAGTAACGGCTACTTATCTCCTTCCCATTGTATCCTGTCATACAATCGAATCCCACCATTACCAAACCAACGGTCACATTCTCTCAATAGGAGCCAAAAACCACAACGTTTAGTTTAGTCACACACCGTTTTATATACCTCTCTCCCTCCCTCCAAACTCCGCAAATCACAGACAACAACAATCCCCAAGTTTTCAGAAACACAACATTTTCCAAGAACCAGAACCAGAACCAACCAAGATGTTGCATAAGCACATTGTTCTACCTTTTCTCCTTTTTGCTTTATGTGTTTCGAACTCTAATTTTATGGTAAGTGGGGACAATGCGCCTACGCCATCACCCGCATCCTCATCAACTCCAACACCACCCTCTAATACTTCTCCTTCTCCATCCACAACTTCATTTACCCCAAGTCCTAAATCGTCGTCCCCTTCAAAATCTCCGGCTACATCTCCATCCACTTCCCCACCGATTCCTGCCGTGTCCCCTTCAAAATCTCCGGCTACATCTCCAATATCCACGTCCCCACGAAGTCCTACCGTCTCCCCTTCAAAATCTCCGGCTACATCTCCAATATCCACGTCCCCACCAAGTCCTACCGTCTCCCCTTCAAAATCTCCTGCTACATCTCCAATATCCACGTCCCCACCAAGTCCTACAGTCTCCCCTTCAAAATCTCCGGCTATCGCCCCGGCAACGCCCTCACCAAATGCCGCTGCCACATCTCCAAGTGGCTCCCCTCCGGTTTTGTCACCAGCATTTGCACCACTGGGGGCTCCGCCAATGTCAGAGGGTCCGGTTACTAGAGCAGCGACTCCGGAGGCATCTGGAAACATTCCGTCAAGTTCTGCGACGCCAGGGGAGGCCCCCATGGTTTTCCCTTCCAGTAGTAGCCCTACTACGAGCCCGTCTACAGCGAGTTTGCCACCGGCAAATGCAGAGGGTCCGTTGGTTAATGACGAGTCGGGTTCAAGGTCCTTGTATGAAGTCGGGGTCATTTTGAGTGGGTTGGTGGGTGTTGGGTCTGCCTTGGCTTTGGCAGTTTAAATTATTATCATATTATTGTTTTTTTTTTTTGGTACAATGATTATTGTTATTATATTCTTTTAATTTATTTTATTAAATTTTTAAGTATTAATGGTGAGTTGAAACAGGGCTTGTTTCGTGGATTAAGACAACCCTAAATCCCTGGTGCATGTTTGTTGGATCTCAAATTATCTAAAGTTATTGCAGTTAAAATGTGGCAGACAATTATGGACATTGATGGACCCCAAATGAATCGAGTGGCATGTAATATCTCAAACCATACTCTGTGATGGACTGCCTCTAATTTGCAACTTGCATAATACAAACTAGAAAGGTTCGATGGAACCTTAGAAAAACGAAGAGAGAAAAGGGACAGTGAGTGTATTAGACTTGGAGAGAGAGTGAGAGTAGCAGACAATTGGCCTTTTATGGGTTTTGTTGAGATGTGAGAAAAGCGCGAAACAATCTTCGAAACGTTTCAATCAACAGAAATACCAAATAGAAAGAAAGTGCGGTATTTTTAGGTAGTTTGTTTGTTGTTGCCTAGGCTTAGGAGTGTTACATCACCATCCGTTCAACGCATCCTTCTGGGTGAATTCCAGCAGTTTGTTTTTCTTTTCCCCTTTGGAATTGCAGGAAGAAGGAAAGCCACAACTCTAATGGGGATCTTAGCTGGGACGAGACACCTCCTCACGATCATCAAGGTGTTTTTATTTTTTTCCCTCTTTCTGTGTATATGAGATATCTTCAGACTTCCTTTTATTTGTAGCTCTGTTAAATGATTTCAAAATTTTACACAAAACAAATATTACAACAACTTCTTGTAAGATATGCTAGTGTGTAAGTCAAATTGGTTTAAACTGTCAATTAGTTATAGAATTAATTGTAAATTGCTCAATTGGATAGTGCTTCTAAGCCTGTGTATTGTTGATTAACCAAAAACTTCAAACAATGGCTTCATAACCTGGTGTGTTTGTGTGTATATGCAACTTTAATTTGTTCTTGACATAAATTGCCGGGCACCTTTTCTTTTTCTTCTTTCGCCAAGCTTGTCTTAAATGACCTTGCCTGTTATATTTCTTCCTTACTAGCTAAAACAAAAATGGGATTAAGCCAATCATGTTCTACTTTATCTCCTCCATCTTGTATCCCATCAGGCTCATGCCTCTCTTTTGACTATTTCTTACTACACCATCCAGCAGCCCACCACTAACAAGACATGATTCTCAAATTCAAAACTAATTTGCTCAAAAATCCTATCGGGTAATAATATATACCCGGTGCCATAGGATTTAAAAATAATTTGACTATTTCTTACTACACCATCCAGCAGCCCACCACTAACAAGACATGATTCTCAAATTCAAAACTAATTTGCTCAAAAATCCTATCGGGTAATAATATATACCCGGTGCCATAGGATTTAAAAATAATTTTACGTTCATGCAGGGTACAAGAAATCTGTTATTAGCATAAATCTTCACACCAAATCTGATTGCTGAAATCTTTTTTATCATTAAGTTTGTACGCTAAAACTAAAGTAGACATGAAGTTTTTACTTTTGTTCTCATGTACTTGTAGGTGCGTTTAATACATGTGTGTTTACCATTACTTATCAAAACAAGAAAACTTCTGTAGGAATGGTACACTGGTATGTTGATTTGTCTTTCAGTTGCTATCCCTGCAAAGGTAGCTAAGGTGCTGAAGAAATATCAACTAAATAATCAAACCTGGGGCGATATTAGTGACTAAAGTTGGAGGAATACATCGGTAGTCAGTATCACACCCAGCTGAACTTACACATGGCTACTACAACTGTGCTCTCAGGATGGTTATGATCCCGTTGCTGCATTGTTGTCTCGTGATGTAGCTGCTTTGCATATTTCGTAAGTCTTTTGTTCATAAGTTCTGCATCCCCATCCTCATTTTTTAGCTGGGATGATTCTTTTTTATTAAATAAGTTGAAGGCTATGGAAATTTATACAAGATTCCATGGTAACAGTGTGATAGAATCGATTGACACACTAGCTTCATAGCTGTTGGATTGATGGGTAGCGCACTGTGAATCTCCTATGTGAAACGGTCTGGTCTGCCAACTATCATAGTCTATCTTTTTGCTAGATGCAAGAATTGGAGGGATATAGGATAAAGGATGAAAGAGTTATCCAGTTATGATATTGCATCAATTTGGTTTGGAGTACATTGTTTGGTACACTCACATCTCTCGATTCTTTCCTGTATAATATATCATACCTGTGGACCACCCATGTAACTTATAATTGTATGCATGCTTACTTTACCAGATACCGAAACCCTAGGACCTTTTTTGTGCAGCCATGAAGGTTTACTTGAACTGGTGTGAGTCCACCTTGAATGAGTAAAATTTACTTTCCTTCTTTGGTTAGGGGAAGTTCTTTTATTTATTTTTTTTTTCTGAAGTCCCTATCATTTTGAATTGCTTATTTCCCATGTATCTGAATTTCATCTTATTAATAAGCCAGTTAAGCAGATGGTTACACGGCTATGATTCATATCTTGAACATGCCTTGTTATTTGGAGCATTAAGATTTACTTACCATAAGTTAACAAAAGATGTTTCCTTTTGGAACCTTGGCATCTAATCATGGTATAGTTAGGATCACAGAACCTTTCTTGTTGGAAACTGGAACTACATACTGTTCTTGTTTGGGAGTGGCAGATTCACACATGGCATGCTTTTACGGAAGGAAACAGCTTGTAGATTGGATGGAGAACTTGGACATTGAGCTTCAGCGTGGTGTTTGTATGAGAATTTCACAGAGATTATAAGTATGCATAATACTCTGGCTGGTGTTTTTTCTGGATATGTTCTATCTATGAGAACAATTGACGATATCAACAAGATCATATGTTTGCATTCGTTCTGCATAAATAAAAGTAGTAAAATAAAAAAGCAAATATTCAGAATAAGTGAAATCTTGCCAGCATTATAGGATTTCTTAGAATTGCATCCTGAATTTCACAATCATTTTTACCGAAAAAGACATGGACACTCGTATCTAAACCAGACTTTTATTTTTTTTTAAGGGAAATAGCAAAACCTCAACAGCATGTTGATGTGGATTTAATGTGGAGGAAAATAAAATTGTTGGATTTTTTTTTTTTTTGGTTCTTAATTTCGTTGCTTAGCTAACATGAAGATAACAAGTGCTAAATATCTTGTCAACAATGTATGTTCTTCTCTTTCTCTATTGTTCTGGTACTGTGATTTATGTTCACTTAGATTTACCAAATCGGGGTCAAATTTATTGTTATTTCATCCATTTTTTCTTCTTTTTTTTTTCCCGGGAAAGGGTGAGAGGTGTTCCTTTCATTTCATAGTCCGACAGAGGAGAGCTATTCTCTTACCTCAACAATCAACTGCATATTTATTTTTTTTTCCTTAATATTTTTATATGAAAAAGATAAATAAGCTTTCATATTATGCTGCTCCCCTTTTATTTCGTGTATCCATATGGCTGCATTTTCTTGCAGACAGTATTGATGCAAATACTTGCAAACAGTTACCACACACAGGTGGAAGCTGTAAGATACGTGTTTCAGACTGAATGGTAAGATTTTTAAATTTGAACAACAGAAGAATTGTGTTTCCTTTGTTATAAAGATAGGCAAAGTTTTTATTTTTATTTTTTTCAACCTAGTCTAACCAGAACTTGTTACTAAATTGTCAAGAAGAGTACTGGTGTTTTTATCCCTTGATTTTTATGACATGGAGATTGTTAAAGCTTCAGTTAATTACTAATCCTGACTGATTTATGACTACATCCCAATTGAGTGCCTCTTCAATACCCATTGATAGTGCATTCCTAAGCTTTGGTTAATTCTACCATAGTGGTAGAATTCAAAGTAATGAAAATTTTATTGAGCCTCAGCTATTAAATAATGAAAAAAAAAAAAAAAAAAACAGATGGAAGCATAAAGTTAGGTGCCCTGCCTTCAACATTGGTAACCCATCTGACAATTAAGTGCTCCGGCCTGCGGAGACATGTTAGTTAAATAGGAAGCTGGTCTTGCTACCATGCTTGATGCTTTTATGTAGCTTGCAGGACTTTTCTGGCCAGAAGGTGTGAAGAAAGCACCGTTGAGCATCATGTCTCCATCTGATCTCCAGTTCCAACTTTTCCACTCGTATCCAGTCAAGTTGTCATGCCAAGTCACCTGAACGTGAAGTAAAAATTTTTAGGAACAAAAGGGTATGTTCTGCTGGTTCATGAATTCAAGTTCTGTTCTGACCCTATGATGGTTAAAGTTTGAGCACGTCTCTAACTGGATTACTGGACCTAACCTGGTACGTTGCACAACTATTTAGGTGGGATGGTTGAAAGGGGTCAGTGATTTGACACTAACCCTTTTTTATCATTTAAAACTTTACTTCAGTTGTTTCTCCATTTGTGAGAATGAACTGCTCCCTTCCCTTAGTGGGATAAAAAGTAAGTCTTGTGGGGAAATGAGATAACTGTCTAAGTGATTAGTTATTTGTAGCTAAAGCCTATTCATTTATTGCTCATAAGATCTTGCGTGAATGAAAGTGATTATTCAGTTACTTTAAGATAGAAAGACTTGCCTCCTTTGTGTCATTGTTGTCTGATGCCATAAAAATATTCCCTTGGCTGTTGATTGTTGGATTGGCACTACCACCAATTGCGTACTTCTCCCAACCAGTATATATGTTATTCACAATGTGAAAATAACCATGCCTGCATCTGTAATGCTTTTTAGATTTAGATAGCAATTCATTGATAATTCTAGGAATGCAGAGAAGAAAAAGGAAGCATGTTTAATATTCACAGTTGCTCATGTAGTTTTGTTATAGAATAACTACTACTTTAGTTACCTAGGTATTCTTTGAACCAGATTTTCACCAAAAAAATTGAAGGCAATTGTGACTTGCATGTTCTTGTCATCGAGGAAATCATCATTATGACCCATAAGCATAACTTCATTATGATTGAACATGTAGTTGTTCGAGATTGTTATAGATGTTGAGCCAAATACAGCATCTATCAGTCCATCTTGGCAGTTAGCTAGTGTACAATGATCAATCCAAACATCCCTGGCTGCATATATCGTTATCCCATCCCCATCCGACTTACCTCTCAAACCATAATGCTTTGTGGAGTCTCTTACTAAGGCGTTTCCACCTGGTACACAGCCATGTATGTAGATGTTATGTATAATAATGTTGCTGACGTTATGAATGGTTATGCAAGGACCATCCGCTATCTGGATGTTATGCCCCCGACCGTCTATTGTCTTGTGTGAATTCATGACAAGTTCTTCCTTCAAGTTGATAACCATGTCCTGATCAAAGATGATCCAGAGAGGTTCCTCTTGGATGACACCATAGCGGAGTGTGCCTGGAATTGGGTTTACAGGGTCATCGTTGTCAGAATCAGTTACTACGTAGAGGTTGCCATCTCGTCCCCCCACAGCATTGCGTCCGAACCCAATTGCGCAATCAGCTAGCATTTTTCTGTTGGTTTGCCAATCAGGGTCGCATCTCCAACAATCATCAATAGGGTTACCGGTTCTGCATGTATCTTTTCCCAGCTGCCTTCTCATTGAGCTCCTGCTCCTGCTCCTGCTTAATTAATACGGAACCAGTTGCTCAGAAATTGATTTTATTCACTGGAATACAAAATATCTTGTGAATGCATAGCATGAAACTTTCACTTATTGTTAGTGAGTACTCACCATTTGGTTGCTTCTGGTATTTTTACCACAGGATGTCTAGAGAAAGTTGTAGTGGCATGTAAGATCATGACTAGGAAGAAGAGGGAGAATGTTGGCATCTTAAAGGTATATCGTCTTGGAATAGACGTGTGTTTTAATAGCTGCTACACTATGATAGTGGTTCAAATATTTGAATTTATACAACTATCGAAGTATTTCTTGGATTGAACTTGCATTGCTTTCAGCAAAATTAACAAATATAACGGTGGAATCTAAATGACACCGGAAAAGCTGGTTTCCATCATGTTGGCAAGTGATAAATGAAAGATAGTACTAGCCAAGGTAGCAACGAGTTTTGGCTTGTAAAATCTCCTCTATTTGGAAACCTCACATTGCATTGATGCGTACGTGGTGGCAATGACACAAGAAATTAGAGACCGAATAATTAGCTAGTGGCTTGGAAAACGGTCTCATCCACCAACGTACGTTGTGTTAGTTGCAAAAGTGAATGGACTTGGTCCATAGAGCTAGAGCTTTGAGAATTAAACAGTTTTGGTTTGGATGGAGCCGTGGAGGTGAAGATAGACAGGGAAACTGTTGGATTGTTTTGGATAAAAAATAACATTTATTATATAAATTAATTTTGGTCGTAATTATTAAATATCATCATCATCATTATTTGAGTGATATAGACAGTTTATATAAGCTTTTTTAATGTATCAAATGTAAATTTATATCCAAAAAATGTTTTGTGATTATTGTGCAATATGATGCTACACTAAATAAAGACATACATTTAATGATGGCATTTCTACCTCTCTCTCTCTCTCTATATATATATATAACTACGTGCTTAATTTAATTGGGTAGATGACAAAATATATGATGACATGTTTTTTTTGTTATATGGTGTCATTAAATTTGGTACACTAATTTTCTTTTTTTTACTTTATGTGATGGTTTTTTGGCTAAAGGAAAGTAAAGAGAGCTATTCTCGTTTTATAAATAATGCAACTTATAAAGTTACGACAAAGACAAAAACAATTGATCTATGATATCTTGAGATAACATGTGATATATTATTGATTTACTACATCATATTATACTCTACAAACGGAGCATATTATTTTTTTTAAAAAAGCAATCTTGTTCGTGTCTTGACCTAGTCTTTTCAACTTATTTTATTATAATGATATTGACGGTTTAATCATCTATATTCCGTGAGACTATGGTAATGTGAATTTAATTTCTAATTTTTTTGGTGATTAAGGGAAAAAAATTCTATTCTTTTTTTTCCATTTAATTCACAATGGTTTATTAATTTATCATGTGATTTTCATTATTTAATTTTGTTTCATTTTTATGTGGTAGGAACAATAGAAACTTTATCCCTTTCAATTAAACCACCTTTTATTTCAATTCTAAATTTCTAATTTAGAATAAAAGTTTTTTTATTTTTTTTAGTTTTAATTCTAATTAAACAAAGACCTTTTGGGATCATCATTTTCTCTTCCTGCAGCCAAACAATGAGAGGAAAGATTTAGGAAACGCGAAAAAAGGGGAAAAAAAAATTGTAATTAGTCTTTCTATCAGAGAACCATCCGAATCCCTAACATAAGCAGGTCAAGTGACATCGTGACCTTTTAATTCATTCTAAAACCCACCAAAAGAAAACTAACGTACCTAAATTTCCTCAAATTCACCCAGTTCTCTCAAAAAACTTTACAAATTCTTGGAAAACTTCATTTTTCACAACCATGTTATAAAAGAGTTATTTAAGAAATCAGAGTTTATATTCTATTTTATAAATCAATTTCACCTTTCTTCGAAGTTATAAAACTAGCTAAACCTAAGTTGTCTCCGTCCTTTATGTACTCCATCAACTTTTTAGGAAAGTCTAGGTGGTAAGCTGGGTAAGATGGTGATTATACAAACTATGTCAACCAAACATGTTGTGGACACAAAGCCAAATTGAGGATTTTTAAGGTTGCAAACATTCCTAAGAAGTAGTTTTATTATGGTGATAATTGTGGGTTTATTGGTTGGTGCAAATACATGAAAAAATATTTTGGCACAAATGGTGAAGTGAGGGATGAGGTGAAAATCCTAAAAAATGTTTGTTCAAGGGATCAATTTATAGTTTTTAAGTTTGAAAAGCAATAAATTGGGATTAAGATCAATGCTTCCAGGTTTGTATTAATATTTATGAGGTGAACAATGGAATGCATGTAATGAGAACGTATTTATGAATAAAGTTGGCTTATGGAATGGAAATGCCATATGTGCTTGTGTGTGAGTAATTCAACTTATGTTCATATGAATACATGTTTTGAGCAACATGATGAAAAGGCAGAACTTGGTAGCATCTGAAAAAAACATCAAGACAAAAAGTCATATTCCAATCATAGTACAAATATATGCCTCCAAGGCTATACTGAATTTTTAAACCATCCAAAAAAAAAGAAAAAAAAAAAGAAGAAGCCGTCAGGGCTTGAAAATCCAAAATAATAAACAATGAAGGATTCATAATCCAAAATAGAAGTGAGGCTATTACAAAGAAACTAAAAAAAAAAAAAAGGTACTATTTGGTAATCGGGAATAGAGTGATGGGAATGAAAATGTAGGAATCGGAATAAAAATTAAGAAATCGGAATGACATTTGTATTTTCATACTATGTTTGGAATACTAATGAGGAATCGAAATGCAATTTAAATTTTTTAATATCGGATTTTTTACACAAATAAAAATAATGATTAAAAAATAATTTTATCAAACTATAGAAATTGTAAAAATAATAACGGTGATGGTGGTTATGACGGTGGTTATTCTAGTGGTGACGGTAGCGACGACGGTGGTGGTAGTAGTTGTGTTGGTGATGGTTGTGATGGTGGTGGTGATATTAGTAAAAGTAGTTAATAGACAATAAATAGATAAAATATATTATTATTTTGAAAAAAAAATTCATTCCCATTTCTTTTTTTTTTATTCCCACGTCTTATGTGGAAATAAAGTTATGTGTAAATTTTCATTCTCATTTCCACTATTCATTCCCATTTCCACTTCATTCCTTTTAACCAAACAACTCGCAATGTGAGAATAAAACTTTCATTCCCACCACTCTATTCCTAATTATTAAACACCACTCGAGGGTTTTGAACAGTGATTTTCACTATTCGTCCCCTCACAATTCACTATTTATTTACTCGTAGCTTAGTTTTTTTTTTTTTTAATTTTTAAGTTGTTTCATTTTGGTCTCTAAAATTTTAAAATACAAAGTTTAATCCCTTAGTTGATGCACTACACATGCTGTTTTTTTTTCCTTTGATTTTTCCATTAACTTATGTTTTTTTTCTTTTATTTAACTAGATGTTAAAATTTTGAAAAATCAATCATTACTTTTTTCACACAAACTAACGATTATATAATATATGCGATATATTTTTAGATTTTAGAATAAATATATTCTAATCATATTGTTTAAAGTTGATTTTTTCGATTTATTATAAAAATTCTCATCAAATTAGTTTTTATTCTTATTTTTTATATAATTTTATTTATTAATAAATATGATTTATTTTCTCTATTTATGGATTCAAATAATTTTTTTATACCTATTTTTATTTGCTTGATTCTTATATAATCAAATTTTAAAAATAGAATATATGTATTTTATTTTCTTATTCTTTATATAATCAAATTTTGTCAAAATTAATTTTATAGTTTTTATTGCACTATATTAACTTCAATATATATATATATATATTACTATTTAATTTTTTAAAATATTTTTTAATTTATATTATACATTCTCACCGATTGAGTATGATCATGATGTACAAAAAATAATAATATTATAGTCATTGATTTGATTAGAAATCAACTATGCATCTACACATACAATACCAACTATTTTATATAATTTTTTAATATTTTAAAATTAATTTTTTCAAATAAAATAATTGAAATAATATTTTAGAATAACTGTCTAATAATTCAAATAAAATTTTGTATACTAATATTATTCATTATTTTGTAAATAAATATATATAAATCAAATGTACATATTTAAAAAAAAAAAATCTTCTCACCAAGTAAAAAACTTTATTTGTTAATTTTCATACAAGTTTTTACATTAATTGTTGTTTTATTTCTTCACTCGTAATGTTATGAAAAAAATATTAAGACATTTTTTTAAAATTTATATTAAAATTATTTTTTTATTTAAGAATATATGCATAAGAAAGAACAAATCATATTTTTTTGACTTCAAAATTTATTCAAATACACACACACACACACACACATAAAATTTTGATTAAAAATTATAAAATTAGATGAAATTTTATCTTTTATATTTAATTTAATATATTTTAATTAACCAACAATATAATATATGTTATCAAACTGAAAAAAATATGTTTATTTCGGTCCATAGCGTAGTGCGAAATCCAAATTGTTTATATGTCTAAAACTCCTATTCATTTACTCTTCATATCTATAAAATTACTATTTATTTGATGATAATTTAAGTAATTTTTTGTGTTTTTTGGGCATTAATATGAAAATTTAATAATTTTTTCTATTTTTGTCCCTCATGTTGTAATATTTTTTCAATCATCGGTTTTCATTTTTCTTCCATTTTCACATAGCGTGTATACACACACACACACACACACACACACTTCAACTTATATTACTCTTATTATTTAAATTTAATTCTTTAAATTTATTATTTTTTATGAAAATTCTCATCCAATTAATATTTTTTATATAAAATTTTATTTACTGATAAATATAATTTATTTTTCTCTATGTTTGAATTTTAGAATAAAATTTTAAAATATGATTTTTTTTCTTTTTTAAAAAATAAATTCGTATAATATATATCATGAATTCTAAGAATTTTTAAATGATCCAAATATATATATATATATAAAGATTAAAAGTGTATTTTTAAATAATTTATCTTAGTTCACTAGGTATTGTCAATACGTATAAAAAAACTATTGAATCATTATTTTTATTAAAAATTAACAACACATCTTTCAGCATAATATAAATTATTTATTATGAATTTTTTAACATTAT